TCTTACGAAGAGAGGCTGAAGGAACTGGACTTATTTAGTCTGGAGAAGAGAAGACTGAGAGGGGATTTAATAGCAGCCTTCAACAGTCTGAAGGATGGTCCAAAGAGGATGAAGCTAGACTGTTCTCAGTAGTAGCAGATGACAGAACAAGGAGAAATGATCTCAAGTTGCAACAAGGAAAGTAAAGGTTAGGTACTAGGAAAAACTCTCTCGCTAGGAGGGTAGTAAAACACTGGAACAGGTTACCCAGAGAAGTTGTGAAATCTCCATCCTTGGAGGTTTTTAAGACCTGGGTAGACAAAACCTTGGCTGGAATGATCTAATTGGAGATGGTCCTGCTTTGAGCAAGAGGTTGGACTAGAAGACCTCCTGAGGTCCCATCCAACCCCAATTTTCTATGATTCCATTTTATCACTTGATATATCTGGTGGGAAAAAATATTGTCATGTTATTTTCCCTGAAAGCCTGTAGAGCATATCAAACAACAACAGTGTATTTCATGTCAATAGCATGCATTTTAAAAATTAAGCATAGAAACTTCCTACAAAGCCCAGATTTCAGTAACTTTCAGAAACATGCTTAAAATGCATTCTGATTCTTCTGTTTTTCTCTTTTGATTTCACAAAATGATGCTTCAAATCTTTCAAACCCTGGGAGGAGAACAGGAGAATGCTTGAAGGAAAAAACATAACTAGGACTATGTGATTTTATCCCTGACTGAAATAACGTAATAGTTTGCTAATAACCTGAACAAGTAGCTTAGAACATCTGTCTTGACAACGGAAGAAAGTACGCATATACAAAAATTCTTACAGAATGAGGAAAATAGTGCTTATACCAAGAAATTTTGCACAGTAAATCACAGCTGAAAATTAAACTTGTAATATTTAAAACTTTCCATTTTTAGATAGCATGTCTATCTTAAAATAACAACTCCTGGTGCAAGGTTTTCAATCTGTCATCTTGTAAAAATGTAAAAATCTTTGTACATCTGTTATAAATGTCATGGTTTTTTAAAGAAAGATTTAGGTCATTGGAAGACCATTTCAGAAGCACAAAGGGAAGTTTGGGGCTGAAACTGCTAACTTTCAGCATATATTAGGACTCTACCTGTTGTTTGCACTTTTTAAAAATCCCTCCTTGTGACAATCAGTAAGATTCATGCAAAGCACATTTAAAGTCAAGAAGTATTTTTTCATTCTTTCCATTTTGTGAGTATTCTATTAGCACCATAGTGGTGAATAATTTTCTCCTGCATAAAACAGATAGAACATTAAAAACCAGACATAGATTTTAAAAGCACTTATTTGCTAAGCTATAACTGCAATCTTGTTGCAGAAAACAGGTAACAAGGCTGTGATGTCAATTGTGTGCAATCCTGTGTAAATCGACATGCATCCTAGGAAGAAAGAAAAAGAATCTTTGGGCACTTTTACACATGCTCCAGGGATCGGGGTGGCTCTTTAATTAAAGTGGCTCTGAATTAAAGCATTGCAGCATCTAGTGTGTCAGTGTCCCCACGCTTCAAAATGACTGTGGGGGTACTTGAATGAAAGCTCATTCAACAAGTTTTCATTCAAGTGCCCCCACTGCCATTTTGAAGCCCAGAGATGCTGATACATGAGATGCAGGAGGCTGCTGGAGCATGGTAATTACCATGCTCCAGCAGACTCGATTAATCAATTACAGCATGTCAGACCAGCCTCTGCACTTGTGTACAAGCACCCTTTCTTCCTCCTCATACTCCTTTGCAGTGACTGAGTACAATCCTATTAGGGAGCATAGGCAGATACCTTCTAATGCCACTCAAATGGGTCTTGGGGAGGAAAGAATACTTCTATTTCAAGTTTGCTTCTTGAAGAATGTAGTCTGCTTCTTGCAGTTCAGCATCTCCCAGTAGAGTTAATCTGGCCTGCAGGTCAATATACAGTGCACTAGTTAAAAAAGTAACAGAGCAGCCATCTGAATTCCCCAGAACATCCAGGAGAAAGCCTGACTGAGGACCTGGTCCTGCACACCAGTTGGTCCATAGGCTTCACAGTGTTGCATCTGTGATTGTGCCTGCAGTGATTGCAGCCCCGCTGTGACTTCTGAATAAATGGGTTGTTGGCCTTTAGTTTTTTAATACTGAAACAAAAATGTAGAAACCTGCATATCAGAAATGGCCTTTAGTTGCAGGTGCCTCATTTTTAAATTTCTAACTTCACCCATCTGAGGCCTGATTTTGAGGACTGCTGAGTAATTGAAGGTAAATGGACTGCATGTGTGACTGAAGATTATTCATGTGACTGGTTGTGGTTTTGCAAATTGGGTAATCATGTGCTTCAGAGCCTTGCTGAATAGCAATAGAAGTTTGATTCAGGACACCTGGGTTTCCAAAACTGAGCCCTATAGTTAGGGCCTGGTTTATAGTGCAGGCCCAACTCACTAATATTGTGGCCAAAGCATGATGGATACCACCATTTTCACACCCAGATCAGAGGGCTGTTTGCTTTGATAGCTGCTGCAAGCTGGGAAAAGCATTTGACAGCCAACAGCAAAAGCCTAAGCAGTCCAGGGGAGGTGGGGGGAAGGGGTCACAGAAGGGACAAGAGGAGAAGAGAGTTTGCAAATAGGTAGGGGAGGAGCTGTTTGCTCCTCCAGTTGAGAAAGGTGGGACATGGAGGGTGGGGAGCGCTAGGGCCTGACTTGGCAGGTGGCTCTGGCATTAACTAGGGGAGAGACTGTTTACTTCTCCACGTGTGTGTTCTCTTCCCCCATCCCCAACCCCCCAGTTTTCCAAACGTTCTCCTCCCTCTGGCCCTTTCACACCCCCCACCTTCTTCCCTCCCCTGGGCTGCTAGGCTTTTGCTACTGGATGGAGAATGCTTTTCCCAGCCTGCAGCAGCCATCTTGTTGCAACAAAATGCCACAATATGGCCACTTCCCGGGGAGCTCCCCAGCAAGTGGCCATATTGTGGTATTTCATTGTAAATCACATTTATCATGAGAATCACTTGTTTGTGTGATTTTCATGAAAAGTGCAAAATCGTAATTTAAACTAGGCCCTATATAAGGCACAATGTCGAGTATAAAGACAGACAGCAATGCCAAGTATAAACGAATACAATTCACAGTGTACTGATAAGTGTTTTTTACTGCAAGAACAAATCTAGGAACTGTGCAACAAATGGACAGCATTATAAACTGGGAGAGTAGACTAGAAAGGGTTATGCTGTTTAAAAAAATTAAATTTTTAATTCTTCCTAAATTTATAGGTTTGTTCTGTAATCGAACCTGGGATGGATGGTTGTGTTGGGATGATACACCTGCTGGAAGAGTCACAGCTCAGAATTGCCCAGATTATTTTCCAGACTTTGATCCAACCGGTAGAGTATTTTCTTTTATCTTTAGTGTGGTAGACTTTAGAATATTCTTGCTTTTGAAAAGGCATGTGCTTCTTACGGTATTTTTACAGCATTGTGAAATCTCAGAGACTTTCAGCAGTGAAATATCCAGCTGTATAGTGATTGCAGGGTTTTTTCTTACTTTAAAGTAGTAGCATGTGTTCATTTGATTTAGCCCATGGATCTCTGAAATAAATTTTATGAAAGTCTCTTGATTCATTTTAATATCTGCCTACCCCTATCCTAGATTGTGAATTTATGAATGGAACAGCATTTATGAACTGTAGTTTTCTTGCCTTCGTAAAATACTGCTAGTATAGCTCAGGTTCTCTGCTGTTTTCAACTGGAAAAGACAATTTTATAAAGCTATTGAAAGAAGAGGAGCAGAAATAACATTTTATTAAGCCACAGAGTCTCAGAGCTAATGTTTTTTCACTGAATTATTTACAATAATATTTGTGAGATTGTATTTGTAAGTTAATATGAAATTCATATATATTCTGGGGCTTTATAAAGGTTTGGAATGTTTGTAAGTGGGGGAAATATTTTGTCTGATCAATGAATGTGCGATTATGACTTTAGATAAAGGTTGACTCTCTTTGCAACATCATTTGAAGAAGGACTCAATTATGTTTTCAAGTCTATACCTATCTAACATGGAAAATTCCTTTCTACCTCATAGTACTATGGAATATTGGATAGTCTTCAATCAAATTATACCCATCATAAATAAAAACTATGAAAGTTAACATTTTATTGGTTATAACATTCAAAACATTAATAGTTATGGACAATGAGGCTTTAGCAATATGTTTTCTACTATGTATGGTCTGATTATGAATAAATTGACTAATGCATAGGAACAAATTAATACTTTAGATGCCTCATACTATTGCCAAGAGCCATTATTCAGTGAATCTGTTGCACATTTCGCAATATAGGAATTTCCATACTGAGTCAAACCCAAGGTCAGTTTAGATTTCAATCTCTGAAAGCAGTTTTTACCAGATGAGCTGGAAGAAGGGGATAATCCAGTTGTTAGATAGGTGTTACAAGTGCCCTCACATACATTTGATCTCATCCTAATCTCTCATATTTATAGATTAAATTAAGTCCTGAGGCCTATTTAATATCCCTTTCAAAATTATTGTTGTCATTAATTAAAACCACTCTCAATATCCATATAACTATTCAGTCCCTTTTGGAGTGCTATTGGCCTCAATGATTTCCTGTGAAGACAAGTTTCACAATTTAATTAGATATTGTAATTAATTGTAATCATTGCAATTGTAGTGCTTGTAAATATTGTAATAATCACACTGCATGATTTGGAAGATGTAGTTGAGTGCACACTTAGCAAATTTGCTAATGACACCAAGTTGGGTAGAGATACAGACACTCTGGAAGGCAGGGTTGGGATCTAGACTGACCTGGATAAAATGGAGATATGGTCCAAAAAAATCAAACAGATGAAATCCTGAACCTGACAGATTATTGAATTAACGTGGTTAATGTTCAGTAGTTTCTTAGCCAACAGCACACAAAGGAGTGATATGGTTAGGGTTGTGCAAAATCTTGCTGGGTGTTTCATTTCAAGGCTGTTTCAATGCGTTTTGAGCTCAAAACAGCAAAATGGAAAAAGTTTTGAAATGATATGAGGGCACTCAAAATGTTTTGAAACATTTTGAGTTTCAAAGCAGCCCAGTGGCGGGGGAGAGCCAGGGCTGCGCTCAGAGCAGCTTCTCCAGCCTCATGGAGCTCATCCTGGCGGCAGGAAGTAGAGTGCGGCCCTGGCTCTCCCCCATCTCCTGCCACCATGCTGAGCTCCAGGGAGAGCCAGGGCTGCACTCCAGCCAGCTCCGCCAGCCCCACAGAGCTGAACCTGCCCTCCCAGCACTACCAGACTCCTCCTGGGGATGCAGACCCCCAGAACTGTGTGTGGGATGACAGAAGGCTGTTGCTGCTGCCTGGGGCCAGTGGTAGCAGCAGTCTTTCTGGTGTTGGGCATGGGTGTGCTCAGTACCAGTCTCAGCTAGCAATGGCAGCCTCCTGCTGTCCGGCATGCAGATCCAGGGGCCCACACCCCTGGGAGGAGTCTGGCACAGCCCCTCAGCCCTCTTGGGGGTGTGGGCCTCAGACCTGCATGCCAGATGACAGGAGGCTACCACTGCTGCCTGGGGCCAGAGGCAGCAGCAATCTTCCCAGTATGGGGCATGGGCTGTTCCCACCGTCAGTCCCAGGCAGCAGCAGCAGCAGCTTCCTGTCATCGGGCACACAGATCCAGGGGCCCACACCCCCAGGAGGAGGAGTCTGGCATAGCCCCATAGCCCTCCCGGGATCTGCACACCAAATGGCAGCAGGCTGTTGTTACCGGCAAGTGTCACGAGTTTTGCTTTGAACAGTTTGAGGTGCAGTTCCCCAGGAACCTCTGCACTGATCTCCTTGAAACATGGCAGGCTACCATCCCTGCAATTTGCATCTGAATCAGGAATGAAATGACAAAGTTTTATGCATGTTCATGATTCCCCATTATAGCCTATGGGTGAAACGGTGAAGTGAGTCAAAACAGCAAAACAGTTTTGACAAGATAGAACAGTGCTTTGATATTAAATGAAATGCTGTCCCTTCAAAACAGCAAAATGGACATAAAAACAAAATGGTGCTGGTTCACACAGCCCTAGTTAGCATCACATCTGATCACTTTTGACTCTATAGTCTAAATGAATGATACCCATTTACAGCTTGGGAACTCGTGCATCTGGAGCCATAGTGAGACAACTTGGGTGCTGTGGCATTGCACCCCACTCCAGGGGTCAGGCATCTAAATGTTAGACATTGCATCCCTAACTTTTAGGTGCACGAGTCCTGTTGTGGACCTAGCCCTACATGACCAACAGCTTCAATTTCCATTAATTTCCCCTATTGTCCATAGCAGAGTTATCACATTTCCTAAAATAAATGCTGTCATTTGGTGCAAGAATCATTTTCAGTGATTCTTTCTAGTGCCATAACTTAGATTTTCTTTGGTTGTTCTTCTACCTATTTCACACACCATTTACTATACATCTGCTGCTTCCACCATGTCACGGGGTGGGGCATGGGAGCAGCCGTGATCTCCCTAGCGCCCCCTACTGTGCCAAGTTAACTGCTTAGCACCCTCTGTCTTGCCCGCCGTGTCTTGCTGTGTTTTGTATATATGGGAGGCCGCCTTACTGTTCTCTGTGACATGGTGCTATGGTCATACTGGCCCATATCCTCTAAGGAGTGACCCCGTGCACCCCAGCCTTATGGGCTACGCGTACCTCCAACCTCCCCTTTAGCATGCCCCAAGCCTCGCAGATGTCCCGGACGTTGACTGGTCAGTTTGCTCTCCACGCCTTGCGTGGCAAGCCCAGAGCGCCAGGCAACTGGTGCCTCCCGTAGGCACTCTGGCCTTGGACTTGCCACACACCTGGCGTCCTGGCTAACGCCCCTGGGCTTGTCATGCAACCAGCGCCCTTACTGGTGCTCCCGAGCTTGTCACGCAACTCGTGCCATTTTGCCGGTTCCCTTGTATTCGCTAGCCCACTCAGGCCGGCCCCTGAGCTGACTCCTTTAAGTTTCTCGCTAAGCTCCCCCTCTGGGCTTGTCTATACCCTCGCCCGACTGGGTTTCTCCCCAAGTTTGCCCAGCTGGGCTCCCCAATAGCTTTGCCCCTGCTGGGCTTCTCAAATAGCACATTCTGTCCTTCTCCAGACTTTTCACCCCCCGCTTCTCGCCCTCTCTGGGGCTCAGGTGGCCTGGCCCCGTGCCTGGCCCCCTTGACCCTTCTTGGGGTCTTAAGCCCTAGTGGGCAAAATACCACCCTCACGGGCTGGGGTCTTAATACCCCACATGCAGCGCCACACTGGCACCCAACAGCCATGCCTCCCAGGCACTGCTTGCTGTGCCCGTACAGGGCACCCAGGAACCCCCAGACTACTGGGGAGCTCCTGTGAGGCCTCCTCGCACCCCTACAGCCTCACCCGGTCCTCCAGTGTAACAATAACAGCCAAGAAACATAAAACCGTAAGCCAACCGGCTACAACACAAATAAGCCTCCTGGCTGGTCTTACATCAACAAAACACAAGCTATGAGACAACTGGCTATAACCTACGCTCCACGCTGCCCTGGCTACTCCTCATCTCCATCGAGGCCTCTCCTCTCCACACCATTCTCCAGACTATCAGACAGTAGGGCAACCAGGCTGGTTTACTCTGCTTTGCGCTTCAGCAGAGCTGTTACTCCTTTGGCTGCCAGAGGGGAACTACCAGCTAGGCTTCGGCCTGGGCTGTTTATAAAGGCCCGGCCCTGCCCCCCGGCAGTCAGCTGACCCAATCAGTTGCCCTAGCAACCCTCACCTGGGCTGCCCTGAAGATTGGCAGCTAAGCCCTGTTACCAATGCTAGTAGCAGGCACCCTAGTGTCCTGCTACACACCACTTTTATGATTTTCATGGTAAGTTAGTAGAAAACAGCCCTATTTTATATATAATTTTATATGCTCTTGCAATTATAGCAACAACAGATCTTACATAATTTAGAAATGCCTAAAGTCTCCTGACATCATCAACATTCTCATCACACATTATTTTCAGATATTATAGACCAACACTTTCCCCAGTTCTCACACCACCTTTTGCCAGACTTGAAATGAAGCTTTTCTCATCTAGCTTCTGTTTCTGAAGACATGTTCTGAACAAATGGCTCCATTACAAAATACTACTATATGCATTACAAAACTACTATATGTGCTTTACTGCGGAGTAGACTAATTAGTTCCACAGTAAAGTGTCACTGTCTACACATGCACCAGTATTAGGGCACAGTAAATTAATTAACTCCTATGTAAAATTACACTGTCAGGGATAGTACTACTATCTTACAGCAGAGTCATTAATGCGGTGCAGTGCATGTGTAGACAGTGGGCTGGCTGGGGCACAAGGATACTGAAGTGCAGGGGCT